ATGCTAAATATCGGCCCGATATATCGGCCGGCCGATATATCGGTCGACCTCTAGCTGCTTCTCATTGGTTACATAACACTTTCCTACTATTCGACTATGAGGTTCATAGTCGAATCAGACGTCTACGAATCGAATCGTCGAATCCTCGACTATTAGAAGTCAGCCCTAATAAATTCAACTGTAAAATGTTAGAGAAAGAGAAGTATTTTACCTGATGTAACAAATGGGCTTTGCCCAACTCTCGGAACGGCTTGTTTGTGAGGATCTTTTTATTGCAAAAAGTTCAACCAAGGAGAACTCAATAGATTGTTTCATCAAATAAACACTAGTGTCGAAACAATCTAAATGAGTATGTGAACAGTAATTTGGCGAAGCCCGTCTCTTGGTCGTTGGTTCTATCGACACTGAAGCCGACAGATCTGGCTGGGCGACCAGGCAGGAGGCGAAGGAACCAAACCCCGGACCAGGACGGGGAGCCGAAGGTGGTGGAGGGGAGGAGGCGGGCGAACCGAATAGCTGTAATGGCAAAGAAGTGGGTTAGACTTGTTCTTTATATAGAACTTGGATCGCTGTGATTGGACACATTGGCGTTCATTAGGACTCCTTGTTTGAACTTTCGTATTCACTTTCATTTAGCTGTATATTCAATATCCAGTCATCTGGCTACAACATCTTTCAACCAGCAAGCCTGGCAGTTTTTAGCCACAGACCTTTGATGTTCACAGGCAGAGATGCACACCAATGATTTTTACTTTTTGAGCCTTTTTGCTATATGTGCTAAATCTTGCTAATGTCTTCAAAAAGTGGCAATCTTTGCTGTAGAGTGTTGATACTGTAGTTGCTCTTGCACTCCCCTTGGTTTTCAGATTAACCCTCGTGTATATATAGAACTGTCAGGAAACAGTATAACTTGTATACATATACAGCATATACAGTTATATATGTATATATTCACTAAGAACAGTTTGTAAGCATACAGAACTTGTCACACCTTAACACCTTTTGAAATTACTTCCTCGGGTTTCGCCTCACCTTCTGTCTTGCTCTCACACTTTTCTCACCTACAGGATTTGCGATTGCTGACAGATTGCTGACCAAAAATTTATATCACGCTATTTTTCAAAGTTATATCAGTTTCACGGTATACGACGGTACTTTTTTAAGTATGACTGGGTGTTTTCCATATTTTACAGGAAACATTTTTGTTTTACGTTTTTGCATTGTTCCCATATTAACTATATTATTTTATTATTAGTCATTTCACCTATCAGCTACCTTAATAACATACGGCTAAGGTGTTTGTTGGCTGACTGCTTATAGATAAACGGCTAATATTAAGGTGTGTGCCGGCCAAGTTAACATTTTTGATAAGTGTTTAATAGTTCAGTGTTGCTGGAACGTGAGCTTTACTGACCTCGCAAAATTTCTCATAAAGAATGGATGTCGGTCTTTAAGATGCTTCGCCGGGTTTGACGTGCTACTTGACTTCGTCACCACAACTTTGTAGCACTGTTTGCATAGAGGCTTATCGACATCCTTAAGCTTTTCATGCTCATCTGCAAAATACTTCCAAACAGCACTTTTGAGTTTTTTTTTTTTTTTATCACTAAAGCAGCCTTCAACTTGAAGTGCCTTCAACTGCAGCATATGACATGTTCGGCCAACTCGGTATGTGTGTGTTATCCAGTGTGAGCGCGTTCAGCGGCTATTGAGAGGAGGGGAGAGGCTGCGCAAGTGTGTGTGTGTGTGTGTGTGTGTGTACAGTATGTGTGTGTGTGTGCACGCACGCCTGCGCTGTGGTGGTGCTGCGTGAAGTGTGGCAAATAAGGCGAAAACCGCACTGTTGGTATCAATAATGGTGAAAATGAGTATCTAATCAGATACTGATTTTTTTATATCGATTAGTATTTGAGAATCGATTTTTTAACAACCCCAGTGTCTCATTATTATCAACTCCAGCGTCACGTATAGCTTCCGTTTCTGATCTTTCGCGGTACATTTTTAGCGGCGCAGCAGTGAAAAAGGCCCCCCCTTAAACAGTTTCCGAATGTTGTGTAGGCTATTTAAACCGGTATTGCGGTATTTGAGAAATTCATATCATAACAATAACAAACTGTTTTCGGTATGAACTGGTATACCGCCCGACACTAGCTGACAGGTTCAGACATTTACCCTGCTAGATATTTGGCGGGTGTCTGCCACTCCCTCAGGTCATGTATTGAAACAGTTCACATACAGCAATCGAGCGCTGATTTGCCATCGCCAATCAAACTCCAGTTTGCCTCCGATCTGGGAGTTTTGAACGGTCATATGGTCAAGTGTGCATATTGAGGTTCACCCTATATAGATTGCTGATAGTCAGCGTGAGGATACCTTATACCTTGGGTTGCATTTGGTTTAGTGAAGCTGGAACTTATCTTTAAAGCCTGACCTTGTTGAACTTATTAACTCGCATATGAAGAACACCACCCC